CCTTAATAGAATTGAAGGCCAACAAATCATTTCGATTATCTTTACAAGATTCTACTAAAAGATTAACACAGATATCTAAAGAATGCCCTACAATCGCGAAACATAGAAAACAAGAAATTCACAATGGCATGCAGAGTGTGGGTAAAGAGAAGGTTCATAACCGACATCCACACACATCCACATCCTAAAATACTCGGATGGGGGTGGTACAGATTGAACAGTTTTCACAAGCCACAAACAACCTTTTGCCTGTTGAGGATCCCTCCAATATCATCACCTCCTCCTTCCAGTTTAAACAAAAGTTCCTATAAACATCTATTACTAGAACAATTGCTGTTAAATTCACATAGGATTCAATAGAATCTAACTAGGAAGAGTTAAATATGAGTACATATTTCATTTGTTTTTATTTTTTGATCGAGTTAACTAATGAAGTAACCACATTGATGAAAAGAGCAGGAATGAAAAATAATTATTTTTATTTGTACACCCTTTAGAGATGATCGAATATTAAATACATCATGCTGTATCTACTAAAAATTGTCTTTATCATACAGCTTTCTTTTATAAAATATTAGATCAACCATATGATCAAGAAAAGCAAGTATTTGAAAATTTTCAAAAGATAAAAGAAATCCTGATTATAGTGTTTTATTCAATTGGAAATTTTAGATTAATCCAAAATTAATTGCATGATTTGATGTACTTTTATTCAAACAAAAAAATTAAACGATAGAAATAAGTAATTTGACGAAAAGAAATAGAAAATTGCTTTCGATACTAGATATTACTTTTCCGCGTGACATGAAACAAGGAAAGAAAGAAAGAAAAAGAAAAATCAAAAATAATGTATTAAAACTACAGAGACAGAGCGAAAAAAAAATATGAGTAGAATATAATCATTAAATGAATTCCATCAAGATCATTGTCATTATTGTCAAGAAAAATTGAATGAGAGAAAAGAATATTTCAAATAACGAAAACGAACTTTTTAACTCATTGGCTTTTAACTGATCAAATGCGAAATGGAATTTATCAGTTAAATAGATAGTTTATTTGGATAATAAATAATAACGAACAGAAGCTATGTTTGCTTTTAATTATTAATAATGACAAAGCATATTTTTGTTTGACGTAGAAAATAGCTTCGTCATACAAATAAAGTACATTAGTTACCTATAGCCGTAAAGAGGACATTGATGTGCATATTAGAACGGTAGAGGTGAAGAATATATAAACAACGCTTTACATACAATTGAAGATAAAATAGAAAATAAAATCATCCAGTATAAAAATGCATTTTGACGAGCGTCCATCTTGTTTTCGTAATATAGCTCATGAAATTCTCTACGTAAGTGTTATTTCTTGTGCTCAATTACTTACTCAAGCAGCATTAGGAAATGTACTCGTTCCACTTCATATAATTGGTCCTTCTATTGGTATCGAAGATGTTACCAAGTTACCATGGACATTAGCTGCTTATTCTTTAACTGTTGGTATTTTCATATTAGTGACAGGACGATTGGGCGATGTTTTTGAACATAGATTACTCCTAATAGTGGGATTTATAATATTCTCTATTTTTAGTCTCTTGATCGGAATGTCTGTTTATGTAAAGAATGATATCTATTTTAATGTAATGCGAGCATGTCAAGGAATAGGTCCAGCTACACTTTTACCTAATGCAATCGCATTACTTGCCAGAACATATCCGACTGGAATGAGGAAATCATTCGTTTTTTCAATGTTTGGAGCAACAGCACCTACTGGCTTTATCCTAGGTGCTTTGTTTGGAAGTATATTTGCTCAACTCTCATGGTGGCCTTGGGGACAATGAGTATTAGCTATTTTTTGTGCTCTTCTTGCCGTTGTGGCTTATTTTATTATCCCTCAAGAATTATCATCAGCTGTTCATCCAACAGGCAAAACTGATATACCTGGTGCAATTCTTGGACTATCAGGTCTTGCTCTTTTTATATATTGTTGGAATGAAGGACCAGTTACTGGATGGAATAAACCATATGTTTATGTTTTATTAATTGTCAGTATTTTAGTAATAGGTTTATTTATTGTTGTTGAAATGAAAACAAAAGAACCAATTATGCCATTAACCATTTGGTCAGTAAAGGGTTTTCCAGGCGTTCTTGTATCTATGGCCTTGGGCTGGTCAAGCTTCGGTATATTTATTTATTATATTGTTCAATTTCTGCAAGTTATTCGTGGTGCATCAGCACTGTTAACAACAGCTATGATGTCACCTGTCACCATTTCTGGCCTTGTAGCGACGATTTCAGTTTCTCAAATTTATGGTCGTTTACCTGCTCATTTTCTTCTGATGGGAGCTATGGTATTCTTTTGTCTTAGTAATACTCTCATTGCAACAGCACCCGCTCACCAAACATATTGGGCACAAGTATTTGTATCTACATTGGTGGCTCCATTTGCCATGGATGTCAGTTTTCCTGCTGCATCTCTTATTGTCAGTAACACAATGCCAATAAATCAACAAGGTGTAGCAGCGAGTATGGTCAATACAGTTATTAATTGGTCAATATCTCTCGGTTTGGGTATTGCAGGAACAGTTGAAAGTGAATTATTAAAAAGAGGAAAAACTGTATTAGAAGGTTATCGAGGTGGATTATATGTTGGAATCGGGCTCAGTGGTATAGGTGTTATTGTAGCACTTTTATTCTGTCGTGTATCATCACCGCACACGTCCATTGGAGAAAAAGAACGACAGGACTTCGGCACTGCATCAGCAGTAGTGTCGGACACAATTATCAATACAAATATGGTTAAAGGTGAAGGACTGGAAGGAGAGTTTCCGATGATATGGCGTTTTTAAAGATGCTATTGTTTTACAATAGTATGAACATAAAATCAGAAGATAATAGAAGATTTAGAGTAAAGGTTCTCGCATGGATTCATATAATTTTATTGTACGAAAAATGATTATCAGTTATTAGAATAAACATAATTTTATCATGAGAAAATTGTTCAAAATCTGGTGTAATTGGACATTTCTGTGATAATTTTGTCAGAACTCTCGAAAAGACTATTTACAAATGAAAGCAAACTTATGGAAATTTGACAAGTTCTTTCCATCGATTATTTTTTTAATGAAAAATATGTGAATTTACAACAGAAACGACAGAAATTGACAGACTATTGGACATTTGTATTTGAAATATATTCCAGAGATAAAAATGTGCACTTGAAAGTAACATCATATCCACTTTCTTGATGGAAGTAATGGTGACTATAGAAAAAGTCAGTGCCTACCTTTAAGATAGAGTCCATGAAACCACAACGAAAAACAGTAGAAATTCCCTGTCAAAAACAATCAGTTTTTGAAATAAGTTTGATAGTTTGAAATAGCATAAAAAGTTAGTCAGAAATCCACATTTTTTTCAATTTTTGGGTAATGTCTAGTAATATTTCGACGATCTAATAGTTTTGATTCAAAATATCGATCTATCAACGAGTATGGTTTTTAGATCGTTTTTGTTTATGAACTTTTTTACCATAAAAATCGATCAAAACCATCGCCTAATTATACAAATCAATAGAGCAAGATCTGCTCTACAAAAACCCTATATTCCATATACGTATGACATTATGTATCTTGAGAAATGAAAAAACTTCATTATAATACGTGTGGATTCGGGTGTGTGAGAGTGGTTGAAGCAAAAACTTACACTTACAGTGGCTCGTATACCTTCAAATGATACGGGAATAACAATTATAGATCCAATCATAGTAGGGTGTTGTCTGCAATTGTGATTTCATGATAAGAAAAATGTAGTTGTGCAATATTATTGCTCGATGTTAATAATAATCGGATTTCAAATCGAGAAACTTCAGAGAAAGTTTAATTAATGATATTATTCCAAGAGATTTTCGTAACGAATATACTTCTTACAGAAACTATAGAAAAACACCGTGTTAAAAGAAAAGCTAACAGCATCTGATTAGATATATGTATATATCTCAATTGTTTGTATGATTTATGATGGAATAGAGCATAGAGTATATAGATTCGAAATTGAGAACGCGAGAGAGTTAAGACAATAACGAAGATAAATATTCTCAATAACATAACATAGAATATTATTTGGGTATAAATGACATGAGCAAGTCAAAAAACAAGTTGTGGGTCTTGAAGAAACTTTGTTCTTGATCTGTATACGTTAAAAATAGATAACCATCACTAGTATTAGTCGAATTTTCGTAGTATAATCTAAGACGAACAAGTAAAGTCGTTGGTTCTTCTCGAAACATTTCAACGATATTAGTATTCTTTTTAGATCAATTCAAAGTATGCAATCTCTTCTAAATTTCATTGGAATAATGAGAAAGATTTTAACGTACTTGATAAACATGCTCAAATAATACAAGATGATGATGTTAATATGAAATCGATTAAAGAACTTATTAATTGACGTGCACGCATTGGTTTTCTATAGATAATTTTGTATTTGATAGTGGCAGTAAAATAAACATAATTTTCCTCGAACGTCTTTAGTTAAATCTTTGATTTTCTCTAGGCGATCTTTTACAAAAATATCATCTTGATACGATTAAATTTCCTATTAAATGTTCTTAAGAGAGGTTTCGCGAGAATATCGAGCATTGCACCATAGGGCTGGAACATGGTCGAAAAAAAAATCTTGTTTTTTTTATCTCATTCGATTGCTTGAAGAAAACTAAGATTATGAAATTTTTTTTAGATCTTGAAAACTTTCGTTGACGGAGTTATAGACTTCACAACAAGTGGGAGGTCTGAAAAATGGCAAAAAAATATGTTTTTTTTATCTTTTAGTATTTTGCTCGTAACTTTGCCATTTTTCATCTGTTTTTTTTGGGCAACATCTCATTCGAAAGAGCTCATTAAACTGAACAAAAAAGTCTCTTATGAGATTTCTGAAAACTGAAGTCTTCATAGGGAAAAAACGAGTTTTCCAAAAAACTCAGCATTTGTCGGATGTAGTGTTTTTCCTTTGCAAGCCATTTTTCGAGGCTATGAAAGTC